GTTAAATAAAATTTTAAATCATGCCTGATGACGTTTCCTTTGTGATTGTTGAGCATTAAACACTAAAACCATGATTACAGTAACAGTTTCATCTATCTTGAGCAAGATCCTGTATGTAGACGTGTGGGTTATTCCATTATTTCATTGTTCTTGCTTTCGTGCTATTCACTTGGACCATGATCTAAGGTATGGACTGAAGGAAAAAACAAGAAAACATATGGCTTACGGACTACCCTCTTGGCCATTCGATAATCAGTTTCTTTGGGCCAACTTGGCAATGAAGAGAGGGCTTTTGTCATAWWTATGAATACGGGGGAAGTAGGGCAAGGCATCTCATTCGAGTACGATATGAATTCTATGGAGTCACGAAGTGAAAACAAGTGAGCCAAAATTGCAATTTCAGAACGGTGGAAGTGAAAACCGCACGAAGGAACTGCGTCGTTAATAAGAGAAACCATTGACGAACGATTCCATGCAGAATGCTATTCGTATACTTTCCCACTCATTTCGTGATAGGAATATTTCAGAGCAAATACGGTCTAAATGTCTCGTATAATTCTCCCTGCATTTAGTAATCACTTCTCGAATATTTGAAGATTGTCTCTGTGAGGCACGTAGATCACGAATAGCTAGTGTGTGACCAGTAACCTCACTCTTTGTGATAAAATGTAGTTCTACAACACTAAAGAGCACACGCACATTTCGCAAGTCGTGAGCAACAAAGGACCTACCTCAGCTCATCTAACCATCATCAGAACCAAAGTGAATACCCAAAGGTAACCACCATCCGTACATTTCGCAGTCTCTCCCTGAGCTACAACAAAAAACTCAAGGAGTACCGGTTCAAGTTTTCTTCGCTGTCATTGCAAATTGCAGTCATCTTGCTCAGTCTTGGGGATTTGATTGAAGAATATTACGAGTTTTCGATCATACAAGAAATATTATTTAGATTATGCTTGGCTGACTCTGAAAACACTCCGTGTGTACTCCCTTCCTTGGGCTTCGGAACTACGTTGTCCAGAGATGTATTAACTGTCTCGGTTTGCGTGTTTCGTTCCTCAAACAATCTGCTTCTCCTTGTCCAGTTCAACCGGTTCGGTATCGTCAAGGTTTACGTCAACAACACCACTGGTATCATAGTCAAAGATGTCTTCGTCGCCATCGGCTTGAGACGCAACGCCACCGCTCGATCCTTCGGCGGTTCCGTTTTCGCCGTTCTCGACCTGGGCGGCATCCTCATCCAGGACACCGCTTTTCAGGCTCACCTTTCGTCGATAGAAAGTAAAGGTCAGCAAGCCAACCAGCGACAACACCGCGACGACGGTGATAATACTAGTGAGGCCAACTGGCACGGACGACGACGAAGAAGATGACGACGAAGGAGAGAACCCGAAGCTGTTGTTCGAGTTCGAATTCGAGATCGATGGTTGCGACGGCTTGGCATTTCCATCGATGCTTTCGCAGAAAAGGCCGGTCCGGCCCGGAGGACAATCGCAGAAGACACCGCTGTCTGCYCCCGTGCATTTTCCGCCGTGCATACACGCGATGCCGTCGTTGCCGGGACACTCATCGAGGGGAATCTCGCAGTAAWCCCCGGTAAAGTCGATGTCCCTGCAGTCGCAATAGGGACCAGATGTGGCCGCGTCGTCGTCGCCGCCCGACGCAAAACGGCAGGAACCTCCRTGCTGGCAATCGAGGTCGCACTTTGCTTCGCAGTTGTCACCGCCCCATCCGGATGTGCACAGGCAGTGGGTTCGCTTGCTCAGCATGCCCGATTTCGCCGTTTCGTCGGCATCGTGCTCACGGATGCACAAACCACCGTTGAAGCAGTCATCGTTTGCGAAACAGGGGCCGTTGTAATCCTCGAYGTTCGACTGCTGTCCAAATTCGCAGCTGSCTCCGGTTCGGTCCTTGGGGCACTTGCAAACGTAGTCTCCGGGAAAGCCTTCGATGCACTCGCCTCCGTACAAGCAATCCAAATTTTTGCCATCCTTGCTTTTTGGACAACTCTCGTAAGGAATGTTGCAGGTCATTCCCTTGTAGTTCCCGACGCATTCGCAATAAAAGGAGGTCGGTTCTAGGCCATCGGAGTTGATCATTCCATTCACTTGGTCGAAATGGCGACAACTACTCCCGTGCTTGCAATCCAATGGGCAAATGTATTCTGAGTCACAGACAGTACCAGAGAAGCCTTCGGGACACGAGCAATAGTTTCCGAAATCCGAGAGAACGCAAATTCCGCCGTTCTTGCATTCATCCCCGTCCTTCGAGCAGATTTTGTCGGGACCGCTGCTCTTATCGATGGGAGTTTTGCTAGTACCGTTGTCGTTTTTACTGACCGGCAAAGTTGCATCGTTAGAATCTTGGGGGTTCGAATGCTTGCCGTGGCAGACGGCTCCGAAAAATCCATCGGGACACTTGCAATAATTGGCATCGACTGTTTCTCCRCCAAGCTCCATGGTTTTTATGACGCAAGGTGCACCGTTCTGGCATTCCTTTCCATCTTTCGTGCACACGCTGAGCCCTGCGGTTCCGTCAGGATTATCATTCTTGCTGTCTTGATTTTTGGCTTCCGAATCCTTGTTGTCTTGATTGTTGTCCWTCGGTGGAGTGCCGTGGCATAATTTTCCGGAATATCCTTCCGGGCACTTGCAATAATTGGCACCGCGCTGCTTTCCATCGATGATTTCGGTTTTCTTGATGCAGGGCGCGCCGTTCTGGCATATGTTCTTTTCCGGGGTGCATGCGTTGTTATCCGGTGCTGTTTCCTTCGTGTCGTCCGCGGGCTCGGACTTGACCTCGTCGGACTTGACCTCGTCGGACTTGACCTCGTCGTTGGCGCCGCCCTGACCGCTCGACTTGGCAGGGTCGCAATGGGATCCTAGGCCACCATCGGGACAGATGCAGTAATTGGCGTCCACGGTTTGCCCGTTGACCTTTTCGGTTGCCAGGACGCAGGTCCCGCCCTTGCACTGGCCGCCGTCTTTGGTGCACACGCTCCTCGACGGCACGACGGGCTTGACCTCGTCCTCCGTGTTGTCCTCGGGCTCGGGCTTGTCCTCATCCTCGTCCCCGGTACCGTCCGGGCCGCTCGAATGGTCAAAGTCGCACGAGGATCCAAGGCCACCATCGGGACAACGGCAGTAGTTGGCGTCCACGACTTGCCCGTTGTGGGTTTCGGTTTCCAGGACGCAGGTCCCGCCGTTCTTGCACTCGCCGCCGTCTTKGGTGCAGACGCTGATCCAGGTRGTGCCGTCCGGCACGGCGGCACTCCCGCCACCGCCGGAGTGGCCGTGGCACCTGCCCCCGAAATATCCATCGGGACACTTACAGAAGTTGGCGTCCACCGTTACGTTGTTGATTTCCGTGGTGTCCTTGATGCAGACCCCACCGTTCTGGCAYTGGTTGCCGTCTTCCGTACAGAGACTAATGTCGGTGTCGGAGTCGACGTTCTGGGCGTCACACCTGGCTCCGTAGGTTCCGGATGGACAGATGCATTTGTTGCCGCTGCAGACTCCGCCGTTGCTGCACTGCTTATCGTTCAAACAGATATCGACCATTGTGATTGCTAATTCT